CTGGCCGTGGAGACGCATTTATGGCCTGGATAGCTGGTGAACCAACATCTCAAGCTGTCAGAATCCTTGTGAGAATGTCTATGTCTAATCACTCTGATCTTCATCACCAAATCCTGACTTCAGTCACTTCCCACCTTCCCTTAAGCATTAAATGCTACTTTGTGGCCAATGGGTTTGCTGCATTAAACAGGCACTACTTCATTAAATGAAGCCTGGGGCCCTGCTGTCATGTGATGATTTGCCTTTAATGTCTTGGCCGCGATTTTGTTCGACCTCGGCCTCGGCCTATGCTTGAGGCCGAGATGATTATGCCTTGGCATTTCCTCTTTTATTTTTAAAGAAAGCGCAATGCCCTGGCGAAACGCTGCGTTTCAGCCTCTGCGAACAAGTGCCAAGGCCGAGAGAAAGGGCTCCTTCGGCCAGCTCATGGCCGAGATTCATCAGGCACAAACACAACCCATAAAAATTCTTCCTGCACTCTGTCAATATTCTTGGTGTGTGCCCTGTGCAGAATTCATTGAGACCAAGTGAGACACACGTTGTCTTCGTTAGGCCTTGCTTTTTTTTTTTTAATCTTCTTAATTGAATCTAAGCACTTTGCTCTCTAACTTGGCCATCTCAACTCCTGTTCCATGTCTTTGGTTTTTAATCTCATTATTATTTGTGGTTTATGAACATCCATGTTGAGTATGTCTGAAATGCTATGCTTGTATCACGCCAAATAACTTGTTGCGACACTCTACTTGTTTCCCCCCACAAATTTGTTTTGCTTGTGTCTTGCTACCCTGATTATCTGTTCAGCATTCATTTACATTCATTCTTCTGGTTCATCTATTGCATGTGTTTGTCTGGGTATGAACGCTTTTCATGATTCTTGTGCAAGTGTGCAGAGTTGTCCAGATACAGGTGATGGTCATACATCTTTGGCTTTCCTTTCCAAAAAGGGGGAGATTAGTGCAAACCCTACGTTAATTGGTCACTTTGCTGTGATTAAGGGGGAGTTTTGTTCTGCTATGATTAAGGGGGAGCCTTGGTTCTGCATAAGTGGTTATATCGAGGGGGAGTACTTGTGGTTGTGATACTCTAACAACTATATGCTATCTAATTTACTTGTGCAGAGTCGAATCTTTGATCAAGTTGAGATTGGGTGGGTTTTTTTTTTCCTTGTGTTGGGGTTTTGTCTAGGAAATGCCAAAGGGGGAGATTGTAAATGTGAATTTACTTAGGAATTGGCTTAATTTCCTAGACTTGTAATTGTGTCCTCGTTGTGTAGATTTAGGCCTAATTTTTAGGCAAATTAACTTGGGCCACAAGACTTATCCAGACTGAGCAGATCAAGGGTTGACTATGTCTACAAGGTAATTTGCATTTGCATATCATATTAGGAAAACTATATTTTTGTGATTTAGTTTTATTAGGAATGAAATTCATAATGAAATCAATTAGCAAAATTGTTTGCCTCTTTTTCACTTTAAAACCAATTCTACTTTTTCCTACTCTTTTTGGGAACGTGATTTCTATTGATATAAAACAAAGCTTGAAGACCTTTGTTACTTACTTCTACAAAAATTGATTTGAGATATATTAAGAGAAGCAAAGGTGAGTTCATGAAAAATTAGAATGATAAAGCAACTTTGTGAAGCTTTTTAATTCTAGTTTGCATCTTCATATTTCATATTCCATATTGGCAGCTGTGTGTGGGCATGCTTGTTCGTGAGGATCATCGATTCGAGAGAGTTCAAGCAAGGACTGAGTAAGGCAAGACAAAAGTATTGGATAGATTCTTGTTTAGAGTTTATCTTCTCGAGTCTTGTAATAGTCCATTCTTAGTGAATTTCTAGAGGTTTTTCCCGGTTGGGTTTTTTCCTCGTACCATTGGGTA